TGCAATCGGTTTCGCCCGACTGCAGCGTTCTTACTTGTTTTACTTAACAAAAGTTGGTGTGGTGTGTGTGTGTGTATGTGTGTGTTTCTTTTGTTAAGCAGAAAGACGCGAAAAATTATAGAAATAGCTATTGTTCGAAGGGTTCAGAGAATCTCGTAGTCTCGACTAGAGTTTTCGCACTGGTTTCAATTTTGTATTTTTTTTCATGTTCAAACGTTTGTTTTATAGGCGCATATCAGTGTGAACTTTCACGCATATACCTTTTTGATATGTGGTGTTTAGAAAAAGGTTCCTTTGCAGATGAAGCAAGAAAGTGTTTAACAACTTAAATCATAGATTATAATCTGACTGTACAAATTTATTGAAAATAAAATAAAATAAAATTGAAACGCAAACACTTAAACAACAGAACAATATACAAAATTATTGAAAAATTTAAAATATAACAGCAAAAGAGCTAGCATTCAAGTATTCCTGGTATTACCTTCATCAGTGCATAACATATAAAGTAATGCTCCTGCTGCTAAAAATAGGCATTGGTGAGCTCTCTGAAGGAGCTGCTGAGGCAAGGAATAAAGACGTTAAGAGCTACAAATCAGGACTTGATCTGATTACCTTTGAGCTCAGATCCTCTAATCAATAGCACTAACCAGAGAACACATATGTAGACCGGACACGTAGTGTCGTCTCGTCTCCTCACTTTTTGGGTTCGGGCTACGAAAATATACGAAAGCACAATCATTCCGCTTCATGCGCTCGACCGAACAAAATAAGCCACTATGCTCAATTTTTTCTTGCTCTCTCTCTCTCTGCTCTGCTCTCTCAAATATGTATATAATATGTTGGAACTCCCTTGGAGCAACGACACAATTTGATTCATCTAAAATAAGAGTTTTTTTTATTACAACGAAAAGATAATAGCACATGGTTACTAACTTAAAATAAGAGAATCAACAATTCAATGTTTATGCTCCTATGCATTCCATTAAACTTCAATAATTAATTATTATAATTATTTTCATTAACTTAAGATTAATTTAATTATTTTTAATGTAGTTTAATATTGATTAATTTATTATTAAGTTTATTATACTCGTATTTGTATCACCAATCTCTCTTTTCATCTTCTTATATCTCTCCGATAGTTATTTGTGATCATCGATATGTGGCCCACATATGCTCACAACCATATGATTAGACCGTTCTTCTAGATGGCATCCGAATGCGTTAGCCTTTTCCAATTCGCATTTAGCAACTTCGCCGCTAGGGCATCGGACAGGTACCTGTCTAAAAGGTTGTCGTTTAAGTGATTTTGTACATTTCCATAACGAATAGTTTGCATCAATAGTGTAGTCCATGGAAGCCACTTTTTGCTCGAAGAAATCGCTTCTGAGTTCCCTTAAAAGGTTACGTAGTTGTCTTGCTACCCGGTTCCACAAAAGTCGGTCCCAAGGATCTTGGGATCGAATTGCTTTTCTACGAAGGCGCCTTTTTGTTCTGATGAGTTCTTTGGCTTCTCTCGTTAGAACAATGCCATAATTATTGGGACAAAGCGCAGAATTAAGCGGCGTTGTAGCAGCAGCAGCTCTATGTATGCTCTCCGAGAGAGTATCAACCGCATTCTCGATGTCTTCACCGGAGTTCAGACACAAATTCAATTGAATGGAGTCATCTAGCTGTTGTCTGAAAGCCTCGATGTCAGTATGGCTGGTTATTAGCCTTGGGCTTGGCCTGATATGATGACCATCGATGTGCAACTCGGCAATATGGGCTAAGTGGTCAGAGTCTAAGTCCCAGCTTTGGTAAATATTTGCTTGATAATGCTGTATCCCATGGTATAATGCAAAATCAATGCAAGAGGGAGTATGACTGGATATATATGGGTACCTAGTAGGAGATCCTGCTGCAAGAATATTAGCTCCTCCTTAGGCTTCTGCTAGTTCTTTTCCCCTGGGTGAATTGTATGAATCTCCCCACAGCCAGTGTCGTGCATTCCAGTCACCACCAATAAGATACCTTTGGCCGCAAGAAGCGAGTATGTCGCTGAATTGTCTTTCTTCTATTCTGTTCCTTGGTGGGCAGTATATGGCGCAAAATTCGATGTCTCCCAATCCAGTGGCAACTTTGATTGCAGACATTTGTATATTTTGAGTTTCAATAACCCTTTGTGGGAAGTGGCGCAGTGAACTTCTAACGAATATAGCCGCTCCTCCCATACCATGGTTGTGGTTTGATGGCTTGTAAGCTGGATAGAAGGTATAGCCATATAATTTGACTGTATCTCCTCGATTCAGTCTGATTTCATTTAATAGTAGAATGTCGACGTTGTTGTTGTGCGCGAATAGCTCCACCTCTCTGGCTTTTCCTGCAATGCCATTGACATTCCAGATGAGAATCTTGAGTGGGTTCATTGTGAGGCTGAAGCGTTGTTAAGAAGCTGGTGAGTCGATGAATCCCCAGTCCATTGCTTGAGCATGCTGGCCATTTCGTGGACCATTTTTTCTAGACGTTCTAGTCGTTCACTGTTTCTCTTCTTTTGTTGTTGCTGTTCGCGTTGTTGTGCTTGAAGCCATGAAAGAAATTGCTTCTGTTGCTGCACTTGCAGCTCTTTTTGCCATTTCAAAAATTGATGTTGTTGTTGTTCCAGTAAAGATTGGACATCAACTTGATGCTGCTGCTGTGAGATATATCCTATAGGTTTAGCTAACTGGGCTTGCGCTTGAATGTTATGTATGCGACTTTGAGCAGATGCGCTTCCATTTCTTGCTACCGCGGCATAGGATATTCCACCTGCTCCAACTCCAGAAGTATTTGAAAGCTGCTGTGGTTGTGGTTGTGGACGCATTGGTTGATGCTGGTGCTTACGTTGTCGCTGTTGCGGTCTTGCTTGATTCTTCTTGATCGTAGAGGAGCTCATTGAACGTCGATAGAACTCCTAGTACCACGGGCAACCTTTGTAGCTTGCCATGTGGTTACCTCCACAGTGAAGGCAGGTAGGCGGTGCATCTTGTGAGCGTGCGCAAAGATTGGTGGGATGGTCCTCGCCACAGCGTGCACAGTTAGGATGGCGACGGCAGTATTTGGCTGTATGGCCATATTCTTGGCATCGGGTACATATGACAATTTCAGAAATTTTACGCATCCTTTCAACTCTCACCATTTGGCGGCAAAGTGTTTTTATATTGTAAACTTCGTTAATATTTTTATAAGGTTTTATATTTACAAAAAATATATTTAATTTTGCATCCCTGTTTGACCGTGACCTTGGGTTGTGAATTTGCAAAGCATCAAAGCCATATTTTTTAAAATTGGCAATTATTTCATTGCTCAAGGTACTATGGTGTAGCCCTCTTACTACAACTCTGTAAGGTTTTTCTTCCTTCATCTGATACGTATGGAACTCAATACCTATTGCATCAAAATGGCTTACGATAGCTCTGTAAGTGTCGCTATCTTTAGGAAATATTCTAGCCGTTACTCCTTGGTTGATCTTGACTGATACGTTATCAATACTGGTGACTTCACTAATGATTGCAAATAGATCATTAAGATCAGTGATACTCACAACGATTTGCGGTGGCTTAGATGACCCGAGAGTCTGTTGGTTGTTGCTGGGTTCTTTATTCTGATGGCTGTTGACTGTATCAATTGCATCAGCAGTGTTGCTATGATCAACAATAGAAGCAGTGGGATTCACATCATCCTCGCCTTCACTGGTTGCGTCCATATCCTTGTCCAGTAGAGCAAAGCTGTTACAGGATTTTGCCATATTAGTTGAAGCGGAGTGTGAGACCTCAACTTTGTTTGCTCTTTTATTATTGTTATAGGGAGATAGAGGTATCTTCCTTTTAGTTTTAAGCATTTTCTGGGCTGCTGCCAGTTTTGTAGCAGCTCCAGTCAGTTTTACAGAGTCAAGTGGGAAGACGGCTGCCTGACTATCCATGCTTCCGCTAGGGGTTGCGCTGTTAATTGCAGCAGTTGCGGTGGTATATACTGTGCTACAAGTAGCACTAGTAAATGTTATTGTTGTTGTCATGGTGCTGAGATTCTGAGAATCAGTGAATGATAGGCGTTGGTTATTGAATTCAGCCCTCAGCTCAAAAGGTGTTTTCCCAGCTATTTGGCACATTCTTGCATAATCAATCGGCTTATTTCTAAGCTGAGAGTTAGCTGAAAGGTTGTCCATTTTAATTTGTATTTGTTAACTTTTGTTATATTTTCGAAGCAGAATATCAGCTGAGCACGGCGTTTATTTCCCCTCTTGTGCAGGGGCGCGCACGTAGAGGGGTAATAAGTGTGGCCCTGGTGGGCAACGAGTATTTGTAGTTTGTCGCAGACCCCTTGTTGTTCGTTGTTTCGGGCAGCCGACACTGCACGGGACAGCGTCCGATGTTTACCGTTAGGTCTTCTACAGTTAGGTCTATTTTTAGCTTAAGTAGAAAATTCGCGTATTTTGTGTATGCGTGACACAACCGACCGCGACGAGAGCAGACTAGCGACTCAAACGATATATTTGACGATTCTAGCTGCAATGATACAATGATGATAGCAATAGCTATCGATGATTTTCCAATTTTAATGGGATCATGCCCTGTTTTTTGTTGCGCACTAGACTTGAAAATTGCACCATATGCTCTGGTTCACAGCGTTTGGGCTGTGAATGAGTATTCTGCAATCGGTATCGCCCGACTGCAGCGTTCTTACTTGTTTTACTTAACAAAAGTTGGTGTGGTGTGTGTGTGTGTATGTGTGTGTTTCTTTTGTTAAGCAGAAAGACGCGAAAAATTATAGAAATAGCTATTGTTCGAAGGGTTCAGAGAATCTCGTAGTCTCGACTAGAGTTTTCGCACTGGTTTCAATTTTGTATTTTTTTTCATGTTCAAACGTTTGTTTTATAGGCGCATATCAGTGTGAACTTTCACGCATATACCTTTTTGATATGTGGTGTTTAGAAAAAGGTTCCTTTGCAGATGAAGCAAGAAAGTGTTTAACAACTTAAATCATAGATTATAATCTGACTGTACAAATTTATTGAAAATAAAATAAAATAAAATTGAAACGCAAACACTTAAACAACAGAACAATATACAAAATTATTGAAAAATTTAAAATATAACAGCAAAAGAGCTAGCATTCAAGTATTCCTGGTATTACCTTCATCAGTGCATAACATATAAAGTAATGCTCCTGCTGCTAAAAAATAGGCATTGGTGAGCTCTCTGAAGGAGCTGCTGAGGCAAGGAATAAAGACGTTAAGAGCTACAAATCAGGACTTGATCTGATTACCTTTGAGCTCAGATCCTCTAATCAATAGCACTAACCAGAGAACACATATGTAGACCGGACACGTAGTGTCGTCTCGTCTCCTCACTTTTTGGGTTCGGGCTACGAAAATATACGAAAGCACAATCATTCCGCTTCATGCGCTCGACCGAACAAAATAAGCCACTATGCTCAATTTTTTCTTGCTCTCTCTCTCTCTGCTCTGCTCTCTCAAATATGTATATAATATGTTGGAACTCCCTTGGAGCAACGACACAATTTGATTCATCTAAAATAAGAGTTTTTTTTATTACAACGAAAAGATAATAGCACATGGTTACTAACTTAAAATAAGAGAATCAACAATTCAATGTTTATGCTCCTATGCATTCCATTAAACTTCAATAATTAATTATTATAATTATTTTCATTAACTTAAGATTAATTTAATTATTTTTAATGTAGTTTAATATTGATTAATTTATTATTAAGTTTATTATACTCGTATTTGTATCACCAATCTCTCTTTTTCATCTTCTTATATCTCTCCGATAGTTATTTGTGATCATCGATATGTGGCCCACATATGCTCACAACCATATGATTACACAAACATATGATTAGGGAAATGTGAATGTACACAAAGCTTACATCTCCACCCCCGAGTTGCTTAATTTCCCATGAAATATGAATTAAGCCTAGAACTTATGGATTAATCAGCCATGGGAATGAGCTTTGTGACATGGTAAAGAGATATAGATTTTTTTCCACGACCAGTGTTTATTATACAAATCGGATCAGAGATTTTTTCTTCTATTTCAAAGGGACCAATTCTTATTTCATCAATTTTTCTCCTGTTTAGCTTATTGCCGTTGGTTATAGAGACCATATCGCCTTTTTGAAAATCATGTTTTTTTCTATTTTTATCAAATAGTGCTTTATTATATTCATGTGATCTTTTTGATCTGAGCAGTGCTAGATTCCGATCTTGTTCCAAATTTCTTGAATAGTTGTTCATGTTTTTTAGTTCCGGAGGTAGTAAGTCAGTGACCTCTCAGTTCATCAGATAGATAGGAGAAAATCCTGTTACTGTATGCGATGTTCTATTATATTTTTTTACGCATTCTTCTGCGATTTTCGACCACGCCCTTTTTGTTGCACCATTATCATTGAGCATACATCTTATCTTATTTACCAAGGTCTGGTTTAATCTTTCGTTCAGACCGTTAGAAAAAGGGGCATCTACTGCGGTTAGAATTAATTCTATATTTTTCTCTTTAAGGTATCTTTTGAATTCGTTTGAATTTATGGCCGGATACTGATCTGCAAGCAAGATTTCAATCGAATTCTCCTTCGGTATTTTTTCAATTAGTTTTACGAAGTCGCAAGCGAGTTGATTTTTCGAACATGATATATATGCGAATCTAGTAAAATGATCTACTAATAAATGCAAATATCTTTTTGTCGATCGTTGTCCACCAAAACCTCCAATTGTATCTAAGGACATTATTTGTAACGGTCTCTCTGCAGGACCTAAATATGACAAACATCCAAACTTCTTGTTTAGTCTTGTTTTATTTTTTATACAAGTTTCACATATTTTGCAGATCATTTTTATATTGTCTGATAAATGTGGTGCTGTATAAAACGGTTTCATTTTCGCTTCTATTTGACCTACCCCAATGTGGCAGAACTCATTATGTATTTTCTTTATAAGTATTTTACTATATTCTTCACTCAAAACTATTTTTTTCTTATTTTTTCCATTCTGCTTGTAATATATATCATTTTCGATAATAATATGTTTCTTGTCTTTTAAATCTGCGTTTTGTTTTTGGTCATTTTTTATATCATTTATACTTATTATATTTACTGTTTGTAATTTATCATCATTATTTTCATAGAATTCGTAAACAGGATTTCTGCTAAGGCAGTCAGCTTCGGTATTATCCTTTCCGGGATTGTATATTATTTTGAAATTGTATTGAGAAAGGTAGTGTGTCATATCACCCAATTCATCGTCTGTTCTGTTTTTTATGTTTAAGTGCTCTAGTGGTTTGTGGTCTGTGTAAACAATGAATTCGATTCCAATCATCCAATGTTGCCAGAATTTTAAGCATTCTTTAATGGCCAAGCATTCTAAAAAATTGCTTTCATCTTTTTTTGCGAATCATTCAATTTTTTTGAAAAATAAGCTATTGGTTTTTGCGTACCATCGTTTTGTTGTTGTTTTAAGATCGCTCCAATACCTTTTATGCTTGCGTCTGTGTATATAAAAGTTTGAGCTTTTGGATTGTAGATGGCCAGAATTGGTTTCGAGCACAAGTATTGTTTTACTTTACTAAAGGCTATTTCACAATCATTTGACCAAACAAACCTTACATCTTTTCTGAGCAAGTTGTGTAGGGGATCGAGCAAAATTGAGACGTTAGGAATGTATTTCCCATAAAAAAAAGAACTGTCGTATGTTTTTCTTATTTTCTGGTAAAGGAAAGTCTATTATAGATTTTAAATTATCTTTCAGAGGAGTCACCGAATTCTCTGCGATAAAATGACCCAAATATCTGACTGAACTTGCCGCAAAATTGCATTTTGTTAACTTTAACCGGAATCCTTCCTTTACTATAGCATCTAACAATTGTCTCAAGTGAATTAAATGATCATCGAACGTCTTTGAGAATATCATAATATCATCTATGTAGTTTACAACAAAATTTGATAAGTTGTACTTTCTAATTATATTCACCAGAATTCTTTGAAATGTTGCAGGAGATGTTTTTAATCCAAAAGGGAGGAATGTCCATTGATAATGACCTTCTTGTGTCACAAATCCAGTCCTTGGCCTATCTTGAATTCTCAATGGTATAGACCAGAAGGCTGAGTTTATGTCCAGCGTTGTGAAAAATTTACAATCAACTGTCTTAACCATTAAATCTTCAATAAAAGGGAATGGTTGTGATTGAGGTACTATTAGTTTATTTAAATCTCTAAAATCAATACATAGTCTACTCTTCTTCTCTTCATCCTTTTTATAAGCCAATGTAACTGGTGCTGCAAATGGACTATAGGATTCCTCAATTAGGTTATGTTTCAATAATTGAGCCACTTGCTTTTCGATTTCAACTTTATCTTCTAACGAACATCTGTATGGTCTTTTGTAACAGTATTTTTCTACCTGTAGGTCTATAAAGGCTTCGTAGTTCCTTACTTTGCCGACATCATACTTATCTTTGGCAAAAATATGTTTATAATTATTTATCAAGGAATTTATTTTACTTCTTTGGTCACTATTTAAATGATTAATATTAATATTGAAATCATTTACATTAATGCCTTCATTGAAATTTACTTGAATTTTAGCAAATGCATTTTCAATCTTAATTTCATTTTTATTTTGACTCTTATTATTATTATTATTATTAGTTATTTTGATATATTTCAACTTATTTTTATTATCTACATCTGATTTTAATTCTTTATGTAAATGGATGTTTAAATCTGAGTCGTGGGTCAATCCAAATCTTTTTATAGTGTCTAATCCGAGGATCATATCATAATTGAAATCAATATTGTTGTATACAAACGCATTGATTCTATCTTCCGTACCGAGTATTCTTCAGTTTTACCCCTGCCACTAATTTTTTTTATTGTACTTTTATGGTTATCTTTTGACAAATGTTTAATCTTCACTAAATTAGAATTTATAAGTGTGACATTTGAGCCCGGATCATAAATACCCCTGCATTCAATTTTTTTCATTTAGTACTACTTTAACTTCAATTAGTGGGGGAATATTTAGTTTTTTGGATCTTCAGTAGTGTCAATTTCCAATACTGAGTTTATTCTTTTATTTGATTCAGTGCTTTTGTTTTCCCTGACGTTGAACCAACACATATCTACAGGGTGATATCTATTCTTATTCCCTCTGCCTTCACAAATCTTACAAGGTTGTTTAAACTTGGGTTTCATTTCTGTCTTAAATGTTTTAAATCTATTTTCATTTGCTTTGACATATTTTGTTTCGATAATGTCCTCAAATTTTCTCAGTTCACTAAATAAAGCAACTGGGGCTGTGACATTTTGTCTGTCAATTTTGTTTCTTATAAACTTTGGAAGTCCGTGGACAATTAGGTTTACTAAAGTTATATTATTCATATTTTTATCGGTTTCAAGTAATAAACGTTCTTTTTTTAATGCATAATCCAGAAGTGAGCCAGAGATATATTTGTAATTTAACGCATAGGTGACAGAAGACCAACCTCTATCTGCAAAAGTTTGTAAAAAATGTTCTTTCCATGTTACCCACTCAGAGCTTATTGTATGTTTAATTAACATAGAATTAAACCACTCCTCTGCTGCTTCATCTAAGAATAGTCTTAAAGCTTCAATTTTTTCTACATCTTTGCTAATACCTAACCTATTACACTCACTTTCATATGTCTGTAACCATTGGTTTGAATTCATTTTTTTACCTTCAAATCTATCAAGCACAAATTTGTCACATGCTCTGTTCAAATTTGTGCTTTTACAATCTTTCATAGATTCACTTTCACATAATTTTTCAAGAAGCCTTATTAAAGTTGTATCTATTTGATCTGCAGAGGTGTTTGCTTTGCTTTGTTCCATGCCAGAAATGTCTTGTAGCAGATAGTTATTGATTATCATATTACCACTTCCATCTCTGTATAGCTGTAAAATCTCGTCACTTAGTTTCATCCACACATTCCTGAATTGTCCCCGTTTTTGCAATGATTTTGCAACGTTCCGGAATTCTGGTAGCTTCATAAGTTCATAAGGGTGTGCTTTGCATGATTGGTAATTTTGTGGAATGCTGTATTTCTTCCCATCGTCGTCTGTTATAGACTTTATTAGAATAATGTGTGATTTTTGATCTTCGTCAGCAACAAATTCAAATCCAAATTGTAGCTTTGCCATAGTGTGTGTGTTTTTTTTGTATTATTCGCCTATAAACGTACTAATTGTTGATTTATAATATGTTGGAGCTCCCTTGGAGCAACGACACAATTTGATTCATCTAAAATAAGAGTTTTTTTATTACAACGAAAAGATAATAGCACATGGTTACTAACCTAAAATAAGAGAATCAACAATTAAATGTTTATGCTCCTATGCATTCCATTAAACTTCAATAATTAATTATTATAATTATTTACATTAG